CTGCCTCCTGCATGCATAACACCTGCCTCCTGGCCTTGATGTACCTGCTATTCCTCATTCCGTGCTCTTGTATGCCTGGTCCTTCCCTAGGTCCCCTGTCTCCCTGGAGGGCAGGGAGCACATGCTCAAATGCATTCTCATTGCTTTGCTCCAGCACAGAGGTCAATAGAACTGGGCATCATAGAGTGTTACAGTCAAGCTAAGGGTGAACCAGGGACATCTGGAGCTGAGAGCCATCTTGGGCCACAACATGAGTTCTAGGTCAACCTGGACTATATAGAGATACCTCATTTCGATTTAAAACAAAAACATGTTACTCTTCATCTTGATGGACTGTAGGATCCTCCTGTTCTCTGCTTCTGCTCCAAGGCCCCTGATCTGGTTTACCAACTGAAATATCAATGTTCCATGCCTAACTCATACCTTAAATATCTCATTCTTTCTTGCATAATACCTTTCTAAGGCTTCTCATATTAGGTATAGGCTGAGGTAGAGCCCCAGGGCAGACAGGCAGAGGCTAAGTCCCTGCTGCCCATTAGGGCAGCTCAAGAGCTAATTCCCAAATTGCTTCAGCCAGCCTGGGGGACCCTGCTGGTGTTCCCTCTTCCTTGGATTACTTGCTAATCTTTGCTTCTCATCCAGTTCCTGCTGGTAGAAACCAAGCCCAAGTCTGCAGACCCTGACCCCAAACAGTGGCTCCTGGAAATCTGACCTTGTCTGTCTAGTGCCCTGGTATTTACCACACTCATGGTAAATGGAGGAGAAAGCAACTCTGTCAGGAACGACTCCAGTCTCACCTTCTTGGATTAACTGTTGCAAGCCTTTTGCAAAGCCTCAAATTTCTCCCCTGACTTATCAAACATCATTGGAAAGAACAGTTTCTGTAAGCTTCAAGTTACCATCTTTTCTCCAGTTTTTATGAGAGTTCATCAAGGTGTGCCTTTGTGGTTTCTTCTGGGGGGGGGCAAAGCTCAGAATTTTACCACTTCCAGCTTCCTGCCTCCCATCCCAGGGTCCCTTCTCTGACTAATGCCTAGTTACCCAAGCATGTCCTCCACTCCAACTTTCTCCCTCCCTCCCTCCTTCCCTCCCCTCTTCCTTCCCTCCTTCCTCCCTTCCTTTCTCCCTCCCTCCTTTCCTCCTTCCTTCTCTGCACAACATTTGTACATTTTCTCTTGCCCTTGCCCCTCACCCACATGTGTACTCACTGTGGGCCTCTGTCTGTGACTGACAGACAAATCCACTCTGAAGATGTCTTCTTCTCCTATATAATGAAGCTCAGCCTCTGACAAGGGTGAAAATCTATTCACAAACACACTCGCTGCACACTGGGACCACCAGCTGAGCAGGAAATGCTGGTCCTCCACAAGTCAGCAACAAATGGAGATGTCATATCACCCAGAATCTCAGCATGTAGCCTCAAAGTAATTCCCTCATCCATGGTTTGGCTTTCCATGGCTTCTGATATGTAGAGGAAGTGCAGCTATTGGGGGAAACTTCCTTATTTTTGTTTTGTCTTTACTTAGTGTGTCTGTGTGTGTGTCTCTGTGTGTGCGAGTGTGCATCCATGTGTATGTGTGTGGGTTTGTGACTGTGTGTGTATGTGTGTATGTGTGTGAGTATGCGAGTGTGTTTATATATGTGTAAGTATGTGCATGTAAGTGTGCAGGTATGTAAGTGTGTGAGTGAGTGTGAGTGTGCAAGTGTGTATCTGTGCATGTGCATGTGTGTGTGCACATGTGTGTGAGTGTATGTGAGTGTGCTTGTGTGTGTACGTATGTGCGTGAGTATGAGTGTGTGTGCCTGAGTGTGTGTGTGAATGAACATGTATGTATGCCCAGGTGAAAGCCAGGCTATAAGGTATCTTCCTTTATTGTTTTCAAATTACTGCCTTGAGTCAGGGTTTTTCTTTTCTTTTTTTAAAAAAAAATGATTTATTTTATGTGCATTGGTATTTTACCTGCTTGTATGTCTGTGTGAGGATGTCAGAATCCCTTGGAATTGGAGTTACAGACAGTTGTGAGCTGCTATGTGGTTGCTGGAAATTGAACCTGGGTCCTCTGGAAGAGCAGTCAGTGCTCTTAACTGCTGAGCCATCTTTCCAGCCCCCAAATCAGGCTTTTTCACTGAACGTGAAGCTCAATTTTGGCTCTATTGGGCAGTGAGCCTTCAGGATCTTCCTGTCTCTTCCTGCAGTGCTGGAGTAATAGGCATGTATAGCCATACCTATCCTTTTAATTATAGTGCCGGAGACTGGAACCCAGATCCTCAAATGTGGAGGGTAAGTGTTCTCCTACCTCCTTAGCCCCAACTCAACTTTTGAAGGCAACTTCCAATTTGGCCTTTACCCCAGAACTGTATCATGACTTTTCCCCTTCTAAATCAAGACACTATGGGATAAAGTTTAGGAGTATGTCCTTGTCAGGGAAGGGGGGAGAGAAGGGGAGAGGGAAGAGGGAGGGAGATATCAAGGCAGCGTTTGCTTTGAGAGCTTTATTGGAACATGACAACACAGAGCATGGATCTGAAGTCCCACAGCAGCTGTTCCTCTCCTAGACATCATGCACCCATTTCCGCTTCCCTGAGAGGCTCCAGAAAGTTCACATTTGCAGGAATCCTGTGGAATGGCAGGCTGTCCTTGGGCACTGTGGTCTTGAGCCCTGATTGATTGTCTCTGTGATTGGACATGTCCATGTTTACCAGAGGTCTCATGTCTCCAGTTAGTTAGGCTGTGATTTGTGATTTAGGAGACTCACCTGCCCTAGAGTCCTGAGAAGACACTTAGATGGGTTTTTGGGGGCTTTCAGAGGGAATTTGACAGAGACTCAGTGGTCATCTCTGGGGGAAGGTCATTAGGCCAAAGGATGCCTTGAAGTTTATTGGCAGGCTAGCTCTTAATATTAGTGTGGACCATTCTTTGCACATTCACCTGGCAAATTTTCCCTAAGCTTCTACTATGTGTGAACACTCTTCCAGGGGTCCAACAGGCAAAGATCAACAGAAGGAACTCATATATAGGGGTGTAAGATGGGTATCCAAGAAACCACAGTTAACCGTTACATTATAATCAAGCCAATAGTCTCTAAAGAAAGCCCCACAGTGTGTGGCAAGGGCCTGATGTAGGATGGATCAGGAGGGACAAGGAAGAGGTCCTCAAGGAAATGGTATTTTAGCTGAGATCATGATGTCAACTTGTCCAGAAGACAAAGGAGCATTTCAGGCCATGCAAATAGCACTGTGTGCCTTGCTTGCTAGAAATAGTAGATTTTAATAAAATGGTAAGGTAAATAGGGGTGGAGTTAAGAGAAGGTGGTGCAGGGGGAAGCTGGGGGGGCATGAAAGCTGGCAAAGCCCACCAAGGCTGTTGTGTGGAGGGCTGGAGAGTGCTGGAGAGTGCTGGAGAGAGACCTAAGCCGCTTCACCAGTTGTCCTTTTGGAGGCTTCAGTAGCTGAGTCAGGCGAAGTGAGGAAGATGAAGATCACCAGGTGGATGGCGGATATGTGTGAGGGCTGAGACTCTAGAGAGTCCACCATGAGAAGCAAGGCAAAAGGAGGGCCCGAGGCTGAAGTTCAGGGTGTAGCCTTTGCTTGAGAGGGGGACTTTAGAGAGGCAGGCGAGAGAGAGGTTGGAGAGTAGCTGTGGACATGTTAGAGTAAGGGACCTTTGAAGAATCCGGATGGAGGAAGCATGGCCCGATGCCTACAGCTATAAACCAGTAAATAATCTAAAGTCATGAATGTCGATGAGGTCCCAAAGGGAGGACCGGAGTGAGAAGTCTCAGTGCTGAGCCGCAGGGAACAGTCACAGCTAATGGTTGTGTGGAGTCACAAAGAGGACTGAAAAGTTAAGGGTGGATAGGGTGTGTATGGGGGTGGGGGGAGGAGAGGATCTTGGAAACCCAAGGAAGCGTGAGTATCAGGAGAGGTTGGGATCAAGGGAAGGACCACCACTGACATGTCCTAGGTGAGAGAAGACCATGGACATCCTCACCTCTCTGGAGCTCTCACCAACTCCACCTCCTTCAGTCTCTTCAGTAGTTCTCTGACTACTGAAGATAGAGCGTCCCTCCATTTGCACAGGAGTAAGGAGCTGTTCAGAATGGCAGTGTGCCCAGGTCACGGAGCCAGCAGAGGGCAGCACCAGGTCAACCCACACATTTGCACCCTTTGCATTTTCCCAGCTTCTACCGGTCCTTCCCTTGGGACCAATAGACACAATTTGCCCTGCAAGTCCGCTTCTTGTTCATAACAAGCCAGCATCAGTGGCTGAAGCGCAGCATGGAGAGCTCCCTGGAGGGCTAAGGTTTGCTAGAGCAGGGTTAGCTGAGTTGAGGAACTGTCTTGACTTCTGAGTGGCAGTGTAGTGTAGTTTTAAGAACACAAACATAAGCTTGGATTTCCTTCCTTCCATCCATCCATCCATCCATCCATCCACCCATCCATCCATCCATCCACCCACCCATCCATCCATCATCTAACCATCCACCCATTATCCATCTAGCCACCCATCATCCATCCACCTATCTTCATCCATCCATCCATCCATCCACCCATCCATCCATCCATCCATCCATCATCTAACCATCCACCCATTATCCATCTAGCCATCCATCATCCACCCACCCATCTTCATCCATCCATCCATCCATCCATCCATCCATCCACTCATCTGTCCATTATCCATCTATCCATCCATCATCCATACATCCCACCCACCCACACACCCACCGACCCACCCATCCATTTTTCCCACACATCCACTCACTCACCAAGTACTTTCTGAGTACCCCTATCCAAGGTCCGTTCTAGCTGAGTGGCCTGAGGTACATTCCATGCTCTCAGCTTCTATCTCTGTAATGTCAGGCAAATGATGCTCATCCTAAGAATGTGTGTATAAATTATGAGAGCTCCTGTAGGTAAAGTACCTAGCACCTAGTTAGGTGTTCTCGGAGGGCATTTTCTCTCTTCCTTCTCTCCCATTCCCTTGTCTTCTCTTCTGCTCATAATGAGATCCCACGAGGGAGTGAGGCAGGGATTCATAGTAACATCCTTTGCCCTGATCAACAGATGTGCATGTTTTCTACAGAAGCACATCTGTGCACATCTGTCCCACTGTCTGCTCACGACTCCTAGGGCCAGCACCAGTGTGAGCTTTGAACCCAAGAAATTCAGCCTAAGTGAGCCAAAGCACCTGTCTGGCATCCACTCACAGGGAAGCTGATCTGTGTGTTCTGTGAACCCCTAGGCTCAGGCTGAAGTTTGTCCTCGGTGGTTTGGGGGTTTGGTCCACAGGGCTCCAGAGGGAGATCCAAGTGATAGGTCTGGGATCTTGGTGTCCTGGGCAGGATCTAGACGGCCTCACAGGGCAATGCCCCCATTCCTTCCTGTGACGGTGTCCTTTCTGTCTTCTCAGACAGTGGCTCTCCCCACTGCTCCTGTGAGGGGCCTTCGGGGTGTTGCTGGAGAACACGAAGCCCCCATAGGCTCTTGCAGCAGGTCAGGAGGCTATTGGAGCATGTGGTGCAGGACAGCACTGGTTTCCTGTAGAGACACAAGCGCAGGTTAGAGCCGGGGTGGTGTCATGGCTAATTTTGTTTGTCAACTTGGTACACATGGGAAGGGGACCCCTCAGTTGAGAATATACCTCCATCAGATCGGCATGTCTGTGGGGGTTTGTCTTGGTTGCTAATTGCTGTAAGAGGATATAGCCCACTAGGGATACCATCCCTAGGCAGGAGGGCACGGGTCTTGTTAGAAAGCTAGCTGAACAAGTTAGAACGAGCAAGTCATTTAGCAGCTATCTGTCCTCTGTTGCTTGCTGCTTCAAACTCCTGTCTTGAGTTCCTGCCTTGTCCCTCCACCACGATAGACTGTAACCTGTAAGCTAAAGTAAACCTGTTTCTCCCCAAGTTGCTTTTGGTTATAGGGGTCTGTCTGCAACAGAAAGCAGACTAGAGGCGGCCAATGAGACAAGCCCACGGGGCCAGGGATGAACCTCTCTGTTGTGCTTCCACTAAGCCTGGGCCTGGAGTGAGTGATGTGGGATGGCAGAGAGTCTCTTCCCTGCCTAGCGCAGTTCACAGGCAGATGGGGTTGGAGCCTAGGGCTGTCCCATGCATTGTCTCCCATGAGCTGGGGAAGCTTGGAGAAACACCAAAGTTTTGCTGCCATCCAGTGGGGTAACCAAGCTCATGGCTCCCCCTTCCGTACAGAGGAAGGGAAGAATGCTGTCCTTCCCTGCACACTTGGGCCTGCCACAATGTGGCTGAGGCTGTGGACGCCTGACTTTGCAAGGATCTGTGAACTAAGACACAGCTGGATTCCAGTCTCCTTCTAAGTGTGGCTAACTCTGGCCAAGCTACTCTTAGGAACCCCAGATGGCCCCGACCGTCTATCCTAGCACACTGTACCTCTAGCTGGAGCGTAAGGTCGTGCCTGTGGCATTTTAGAGGTTATTGCTGCCATGTGAGCAATGTACATATTTGGCTAGACTAGCAGGGAGGTATCTGCCCTTGCAAGAGCATTTCAGTGGTTCAGAGGAAGCAGTGTTTGCTGAGTTACTACAGAAGCTTCCTCAAGCTGAGAGTAAGCAGCTTTGTCCTCTATGGGGCCCAGTAATTAATTACCCAAGCAATGCACTTGGGAAACATTTCATGTTCACAGTGAAATGTCAAAACATAGAGACAAAAAGACACAATTCAAATATACCTCTCCTCAGGTAAATCTTTCTGTTACACAATTCAGTTATTATACATTTGAATGAAACACATCAATCATCCAAACAGATTCTATTTAAAGTATCTATGAATGATTTAAAAAATGTTTAAAGTAAGAATTCTAACTTCGACAGTTCCTGATTCACTTCAGCAAATATTTCTATTTTGTTCTGCATATATATTTTTTAAATGTGGGTGTTATCATGTTTTATGATTATTTTTCTCTGTGGCTGACTTTTTATTCTTGCCTCATTACCTAGAGACAGGTCTCTCACTGAACTTGAAGTACAGCCTTTTGGATAGGCTGGCTGGCTGGCAAGCTCTGGAGAGCCACTTGTTGCCACCCCTCAGTGTTGGGGCTATAAGTATATGTGACCATGCCTGGCTTTTTAATGTGGGTTCTGGGGATTCGAACTCAGGACTTCACACTTGTACAGTAAGTACAAGCCAACCCCTTAGCCCTTGTTTTCTTTAATTTTAATAGCCACATTTATCCATTTTCCCTTCCAGATTTGTTCATGAAATCCTTTTACATCTCAAGGTCATCAAAGTGTCCTATGTTCTCTTCTATAAGTTTAATGTTGTTCTTGATATTCAACCTATGTGCACATCTAGAACTGGCTTTTGTGTTGCTTGGCATCCAATATTATTTTTCCATTTCCCTTCCTAATCCTTCCCATTCCCTTTCTAAAGCAAATGATTTTCCTTCCTATCTGTGTGTGGTGCTGGCTGAGTTTCACCACCTGATTGTGCTTCCCTTCTGGTGGACATGGAATTGGCCCCAGTGTTATTATTACTATTAATTTCAGCAAAACCTCTGAAAAATGTCCTTCTCCGTTCTTCATGCCCTTTACTTGTTTATTTTGATAAGTTTTGACAGAATTCGCCAAAGAACTGCTTTTGGGGTTTGTTGCTTTTCTTTTTTGAAGCCTTTGTCCTCTTTTTTAAACCTGTGTCCTCTTATGTTTGAGAGGAAGGTGTTTTGTTTTTGTTGGGAAGAAGCACTTATCAGTTTACTACACTTTCTATTGTGTTTAAAAACTATTACATGCTTATATTGATTCTCCTATACACGATTTTCTAATGTTGAAACTATAATTATTCGTTAATTTCTCTTTGTATTCTGACAATTTTACATGTTTTTAGAGAAAGGTCATTTGGTACATATAAATTTAAAATTATATTTCTGGGAGATTAACTCTCATCAAAATATGAGAGTCGTATTTATCTTTATAATACCTTTTACTCAAAGTTTATTTTATATGATATTAATAAAGCTAGCTAGATTTCTTTTTGTATTAGTATATGGTATTTAATATGTGTTTTTCCTTATACTGCCAATAGTTTTGTTTCATATATGTTAAATCTGTTTATTATAAAAATATTTGTTTAAAAAAATCAGATCTGATGACCTTCTTTCCCCTTCTTCTTTCTTTTAAAAACATACTTATTATTATTAATGTATGTGTGTGCGCGTGATGTGTGGGGTATGCAATTGCCATGCTTGTAGCTTGGTGTACTTGTAGTAGTCAGAGAACAACTTCATGGAATCAGCTCTCTCCTTTCATGGTGTCTTAGTTAGGGCTTCTATCCCTGTGAGGAGACGCCATGACCAGGGAAGCTCTTACAAAGGAAAACATTTAACTGGGGTGACTCGCTTACAGTTTCAGAGGTTCAGTCCACTATCACCGTGGTGGGGATCACGGTGGCATGCAGGCAGACTTGGTTACATCTTGGTCAGAAAGCAACAAGAAATGAACTGTCCCACTGGGTGTAGATTGAGCATAGGAGACCTCAAAGCCCACTCACACAGTGACACACTTCCTCCAACCGGGCCACACCTCCTAACAGTGCCATTCCCTTTGGGGGCCATTTTCTTTCCAACCACCACACATGGCTTCTGAAGATTGCACAGAAATCTCAGCTGAGCCATCTCAGATACAGCTCTCTGAGACAGTCTCGCCACATAGCCCAGACAGGCCTTGAACCCACACTCCTCTGACTCAGGCTCCCCAATGCTGGAACTGTAGATGTGTGAGACCAGGCCCCGCTCTTCAGATTTTTTAGTTAATTTACCTATTGGCCAACGAGAAACGTTTTCATTTGTCTCTTTCATCTTGCTTTATAGTTTGCATTTGTCCTACCCTGTCTAAATGTCCCCCATATTTTCTTGTTTTGTTCTAAATTGCCCTTTTTTTTTATTCCCTTACCACGTGTCATATGGATTTCTACCTCCTGCTTCAAAGTAAGGCTTTCCAAGGCATTTTGACAAGCATGTGTAACTGTGAGAAGTCCAGTGGCCGAGGCCATTTTCTACACCCAGCCATGCTGGGATTCAGTATGCAGACTCCATCCTGTGCTTGTAGAGACACTAAAGGCTTTGCATTCTTGTCCCTATTCATAACCTCAAGGCCCCAGCGCTTTGAGCCCCAGCGCTTGGAGTGAAAGGGTGCTAACTGGACTCCAAGAGAGAGCAGAGGGATTGGTGCCATCGCGACACCCACTGGGCCACCTTTTTGTTGTCTCCTCCTGGAAACATGGCTTTAACTCTTCCTGGAAAGCCCCACTCCTGCCCGTGTGGAAGAGGTGAAGCCGGCCCCTCCCCTTTACTTTGGTTTCTCCACTGGGTTCACGACAGTTGGTTTCAAGGTAGAAGAACCAAGACCTAATTCAGTTAATGAGACTCAACCCTGAGACTTTTTCTGGGGCAGTAGGGTGGGGAGCCGCTTTTCTGTTAGCTTGGGGCTGCCGCAGGTCTGGTCGGGAGAGGGTTAGAATGAAAAGCCTGTTGAGAGGAGGAAGCTAAGCCGAGAGCTGATGACCTTCAACATTGTCTCTAGCCGTGCTCGAGCTGCCCTTGACCTCACAGCGTTTTCCCCTGAATTTCTGCTGCTGGTGCTTACCAGTGTCTAGACCTAGAGCATTCCCAAGTGAATGTCACTTTGACATGAAGGTGTTACAATATATTCAGCCACCAGGGGTCAGAAGCCAGCATCAACGCTCCCTCATGAGAGCCTCCCTCATTTATTTCCTCTTCACACCCCCAAATTTCCCTCTGTGATAACTGTAACACCCCAGGACACGAGCATAAAGCCGTCTCCCATTGCCCTCTGCTGCTGCAGGACAGATGGCCTGCAGGACATAACCACTGACTACTCGTCTTGAGTCTCTGAGGGGGTATGTTCTTCTTAACACTAGCCATCATACCCTTAATTTCTCCTCCACCTTCATGGAGATGCGGCTGGAGCCCAGGGCCGCTGAGCATTGTCCCCAGCCCTTCATTTCTTCTTCGATGACAGTTTCTACTCCTCTTTCAAGGCTGTCCAGGTATCACCTCCTTGTACATCTGTCTCTGAGGTCTCCCGGAATTATTGACGCCTCCACGTTTCTGCACTTGCTTCCCTGAGCTTGGCACTGGATCGCTTCTCTGTCTCCCAGACTAAGCCAGGAGTGTCATAATAGCATGTGCCAGATTTTCCTTTCTTTTTCACTTTTGAAAGGCCACATGTATTTATTTGTGTGTGTATGTGCGGCGTGTGCCATGCTGCCTATGTGGAAGTCAGGGGACAACTTGTAACGTTGGTTTGCTCCTTCTACAATGTGGGACCCAGGGATCAAATTCAGATTGTCAGGCTTGACAGCACTCTGAGCCGTCGAGCTGTCTCCCCTGTCCTGATCGTTCTTCTATTCGTCACCTAATGTCCAAGAGCGATGCCCATGTGTATGAGTGGGCAAGTGAATGTTCCAGTCTCCTATACATAGCGACTCACCTGCCTTCTGACTTGCCCAGTTTAGGCAGGCAGGTGTTGGAGAGCCGTACCGGGT